TGTCATCTTGTTAATATGACAGGGCTTATTGGGTTTCTAACACTTATCATTTTCAACCTATCTCCTCCTCGGACGTCCTCTTTCTCTCTCTCATTCTCTCTATGGGCCATTGGGCACCTAGGAGCCTCACCAACCCTCCAACCTGACCACTCCCTCATGTCATCCTCTCACCACACTCTCCCTCATTTGACATCATCGTCCATACTATCGTCGCCTGGGAGACTCGACGCTCCTTATCACAGTTGCCTCCCTTCTTACACTCTCTTTTTAGGCTCACGCCTCACTCATACAAAGTCAAGCGGGTTGTTCTGTTGTTTTTGTGTCCCTATCTCTTTTCGGCGTCTGTGTTCGTGGGCTACTATTTACCAAACTTTTCAGTCCTTGTCACTTCCCATTCACTCCTTCAAACTCAATGCCACGAGTCTTCCTGTTCATCTTTGCTTTTGCTCTGGATTTTTTGTTCTTTCTGTGTGAGGGCATGGCGAGGGCAATTGTGGCCAGCATGTACTGCAGATATATAACTACATCCGGTGTGAGCGGAGGATGCAGGAGCTGGCACGGGCTGTATAAGATCTTATGGCTTTTTGTTTGTGGTTTTAGTAGTTTGGGATTGAATACAAGTCTTTGTCAATAGTTCTGGTTTTTCCACCTGAGACTTCTGTCTTTTTTTTTCAGACTCATCCTTCCTGCTCGACTTGGCCATATACATTGGATACGGTCACGTGACCGTCCAATTGAAGGCGGTGTGTCCTGGCAGAAGGCCCCGCAGCATTTTTTGACGCCGATGACCGTAACTTTTTTCTTGGGACGTTCAAAACCGCTCCCTTGAAATACTCGCCTAATTGCTTGTCAAATCACCCTGACTCCATATACACCAGCTTGATTCGAGACAGGAACACTAATCAATACTCTGAGGAGCTCCTATCACCTTCTCACCATCTGAAAAGCGGGACGCCAACGGCGTCTTGCCCGCGCAACGAAGCACACGATGCCTCCCAAAGCTAGCGCTCGTCGCGCAGCTCCCACATCCACGGGGGCAACACCTACCTCTCAAAATGCCACTGATGCCAACACAACTCCCAGCGCAACCCCCGGTCCAGCCGGTCGTCCCGTGCAGCGCCTACAGTCATTGAAGAGTCGCAAACCCTCTGGGAGTATCCCTCCAGCAAGTCGACCGACCTCCGCTCTCGGCGGCGAACAAGCAAAGCCAGTGATGAAATACAAGCCCAAGGCCGTGATGCGCCGAAGCAAAGAAGAGCGTGACGCGATCGAAAAGCGTGAGCAGGAACGGCTCAATGAGCGATTGCGAGAGGCTGCGGCTATTCAGCGTGGTCGCGGGAATCGTGGTGGTGGTCGGGGTGCGTTCCGTGGTCGCGGTGGGCCAATGGGTATGGGTGCAAACGGTCCGTTCGGATCTGGCTTTGGAGGCGCGCGGCGGGGTCGTGGTGGCGCATCGGGTCCTGGAGGTGGTTATGGTGGTGGTGGTGGTGGTGCTCGGAGTCGGTTCCGGTCTGGAACTAGTGGTGGGAGGAGCGGGATGGACTACGACTCGGATGAGGATGATTATGAGGAAGGACTGCGGGTCAGCATTGACCGGATTGGTCTTGAGAGTGAAGAGGATGAGGACGTGGACGATACACGGCAGATCAAGGGCAAGATGCCAATCCGCTCGCGTGAGGGCTTGCGGCCCGTTCGTGTTACTCGTCTTCAGCACGAGGAGCGGGTTATCAGTGTGAATATGGAGTCGAGCACTGCCAGAACCGAGGAGATTCGTCAAAAGGCCAAAGCGGCCAAGGTCGCCGAGGAGAAGGCCAAGACTGCTGCTAACCAACCCCCGGTTGAAGCGCCTCGCGTGAAGGCTGAACCTGTGGACGATGACGATACTCCTATGGCCGACGTGCCTCATGACGACGACGGTTTCTTGCCTACACAAAAGGTCCGTGTTCGACGAAAGGTATCCAGCCCTCGAGACATTGCGACACCCGAACCGGTACAGCCTGAACCCGAGCCCGTTGAGGCATTGCAACCAGTCAAAATCACGCGAGATCCACGGGAACTTCTCCGTACTAAGGAGGAGATTGATGAATACGACCGTCATCTGGAAGATCTGAATCACGTCCGCACTCTGCTGTACTACGAAGAGATCCAGAAGACCACAGAAACGGCGCCCACCGAAGCCGAACCATCCGCCGACGGCGAATCCGCTCCGGAACCCACCACGGAAACCCAGGACAACAACGAGGAGGAAGATGACGACGAAGATAAAACCACCAACCAAGCACTTGTGGGCCAACTATTCCTTATGCAATTCCCCCCAATGACCCCCAACCTCACCATCCCCGACACCTCTACATCGCAACCCTCCACCGACCCAGCTGAGAATCAAGTCACCCGCCAACCCGAATCCCAAGTGAAGCCCGAAGCCGACGAAGTCCAAGTCGTCGACGAAAACGCTTCCGAAACAGCAAAGGTCATCACGGCCGCCACGGACTGGGCCCTCCCCGCCGGCCGCGTCGGTAAACTGAACGTACACAAATCCGGCCGGGTAACCCTCGACTGGGGCGGAATCAGCTTCGATCTGGACCGGGCGACGACGGTGGACTTTGTGCAGGAGGCGCTGATCGTGTCGAGTCCACCCGAGGAAGAAGATGGGGCGCCGCCGAAAGATGACAGTGAGAATCGGGTGTGGTCGATGGGTGAACTTTGTGGGAAGTTTACGGTGATGCCGAATTGGGATGAAATGCTGTGATGGGGTTGTGTAAGGCCTCGAGCACTCGGCTTCCAGTTGATGCTGGGGCGGTAGGCATGCATGTTCATTTTCGGCGTTGACTAGATGGATTGGGATTGAAGCTACGAATAAAAAGATGGATGTTTCTTAGTGGCAGCGAATACCACTATTTTGTTCACTGTCTACAACCCCCTAGCGTATGAACGAGTTGATGAGCAGCATCCTTCTTAGACTTCAAGTCCGAGGTGTATGGTAGAGTAGAACGGCCCGTCCTAAACAACCCATGGATTCTCTTGGTGCCCCGTGATAAGCTTTCTCGTTGGTACTCTGATTGGACAGACTGGTGATATGCCCCACTTTGCATTCATCCCATCTTTTCTAGAACATCGTCCATTATGGATCTAAGTACTCCGTAGGCTACTAGAGAATACGTATATCAGATCTGTCATCAGGGTCTAGTATAGATCGTAAGAAGCCACTGGGTACCGACACTTCAAATTTATCGGGTATCCCTCGAGGTAATGTGTGGTCGAAGATCTTAGCCATAAGACAGGAGCAGGAAAATATATCTTTTCTTTAGAGCAGGTACCTTGCAAGAGATAGTTCGCATATCTATTGAATCAACCGGTTACTTTCATTAGCAGCCCCATCTACTACCTACAGATTATTCGAGATGATTTTCCATCTACATTGAGATCTACACCTTCCTTGCGATGAATATATGTACAGTAGTCATGGTATTATGACTACTATGACCCGTACTTGATGCAGTAAAATAGGCGACCCTTGCAGCGCGCCGTGCCGTGCCGTCGGCGGGACTTTTACCACGGCAGAGGCACAGAGTATATGTGAGATGGACATATTTCGAGTCAAGACTTGAATATTGCCAGTGAGGAGTAGTATGATTATGAGTGTGGCTGGGAGGGCGTGATGACCGGGCCTACCGAGACAGACCTGCAGGGGGAAGACGGCCTCGTGGAATCACACCATCAGAGTGGGCGGTGGAATCATCAAGCTACGACAGTACATGGGGTGTGATGATCGACGTCTCATGCTCTCGAGGAAGACTAGCCATTATATACGATTAGGGTGATTTGTACTCCGTAATGTAGCTCTCCCATACTCCATGTAATTTTATTCCTTGTAATAGTGATAGGGGTATGGGTTCCTTTCACCTGCCAAGGCCCGATAGTTATAGAATGAGTCCACCTTAGATGGCCAGTAGTCTAGACCGGGGCCTATCCAGGGTTTGGAGGAGACCTCGGGATGGGACTACTACAGGATAGAGTATGGGCTAGTCAGTAGTGCCAACTTCCCTGAAATTGGGCAAAACAATAGAGAGGATGAAGCTGGAACTACGTCGTTGGCTGTCAGGAAAAGTAATTTAACCAGGGGGGGGATCCAAGTTCCTGCCGGGGCCAAAGATAGTCACGAACGGCATGAACCCTCGGGCTTGATTGGATCTGCTCCAGTTTCAATTTGAGTCCTTCGCCAATCAGACTCGATGGATACAAGTGGCGTGTCTCCACGGTGCCAAGAGTCTCGAAGGGCTACCAACTTTCACCAACTTTCCCAAGTTTCTTGAGCGCGCGACCCGTGGCTCGTCCAATGAAGGGCCCGCCCTGAGTTGCTTCATCGCCTGGCTTTTTTTTCTTTTCTTTTCTGCTATTGCTCCGTTGTGTTGCTTCTTTATAGTAGTACACTTGAAATGTTTAGTGACTAGAATATAGCGCATAGAATATAGAATATATACTTTCCAGCATCGACTACGTGGTCTCCCTTGAAATGAAAAGGATAAAGTAGAAGTCAAAGCAGAAAAAAAGAAACAAAGTTTCCATGACCGTGCGGCTCCCGTGGCGGGAATCCATGGCCCGTCACCTTTTTTCTTCCTCCTCGGCCCCCTGATTTCTTCTTCCTCAAACGGCCCCCCCCCCTAAAAACCACCAAACATACCACCTTTCTCTCCCCTCTCCCCCCCTCTACTCCTCCTCGATCGCATTTTGACCCTTTCAACACTACGGAATATACATAGAGGGTCCTCTCCAACCTCCACCTCCCCCGCGTCCCCCCTATTTCTTGTTGCCGCGCCAACTACCAACCTCCTCCGACCCGCAACCTCCTTGGCGTTGCTTGTTTCGCGCGCAACCCTCCGCCAAACACTTCACTCTTCCTCCCCCGCCACCACACCGGGTCGATAAGAGAGGGGGAAAACAAATCAATCTCCTCCTCCCGATCGGAACGGACTCGTCACTTCGTACCACAACGAAACACCATGAAACCCTCAACCGTCTTCCTGGCGGCTCTCGCGCCCGCCGCCGTCCTGGCCGATACACTTCCGCGTGCCAACGTCGAGATCGCACACAATCCCAGCGCTCTAGCCCAGCGCTCACCGTTTGCGACGATACCGGAGCCTAACAGACATCAACCACGGAAGTCTATCGTGGATTCGGACGCGACGATAGTGACTATCGAGCGCGAGGCTCGGCATATTCTCCAGGCTCGCAGTGAAGGTTCACTCGGCCAGACGCCGTGGATTGGTATGGCCATTGGCTTGACCTGCACGGCAATGGCGGCGGTGATGCTGGGTTAAGCCAGTACAAGTCGAGTCTAGCCTCGACTGCGTCCGTTACCTCTTCCACTGCGGGCTTCGATATCCTCTTCTTTTCTCTTTCCCCTTACGCTTCCTTTCGACTTCTCAATTCTTCGATACCTTTCAACACTCCTGAAACGATACGTGAAATACGCGCCCTCCGACCTGAACTTTTGATTCCCACTCTACAACCTTTTTTACCCCGAACCTTGATCCGATTTCTTCTCATCTCGGCCCCGGGAGCTTCTTCATGTCCCTCCTTGCCTTGTATAACCTTTAATCCTTCGACATTCTTCTCCTGCTGCTTTTGGCGACATTCAGCGACATCATTTCCTTTTTACACCTTTACCTTCATCTTCATTTTGATTACCATTTTGCATCCATAGCCCGGGCTATGTCTGCATTCTTGTGCGAGAGCCCGGGCGTGGGGATTTTTTTTTTTTTTTTGAGCATCATTGCATTTCCCCGGTCTACTACTCTTGCCATCGCTCGACTGCATTTACCGGTATCGATGGCGGATAGGCCGGACGGGGAGTATAGAGACTGCATGTTTGTACATGATACCTATCCTACATTATTGATCTTGGGGACGCTTTGTTTATATGGGATACCGATCCTGGGGACCATGATTGGTGGACTCGATCGGATTTGATGTGTGTATATACGAGAATCGATGGTACACTCTTATTCTTTCAGTTGCGTCATAAAGCACCGCGTAGTGGTAGACATATTGAATGACTCCGAGGACCAGTCCAGTGTGCAGTGTTCCGAAAATGCAGAGAACCAAAGTTGATTCTATCCGACTGCAACTCGATACTACGCCCTGCATACAAGTTATATTGTTTGTCCACCTCGATAGCTCACAAAGTACTTCCTTCAGAGTACATACAGTATGTACTTACTCCACTCCCATCGATATCCACCAACCACCCTTCCCCCCTCAGCTAAGACGAAGCTTACTACTTCTAATTCTTTCATTGAGGAAGCCACTACATCCTCCCGTCCCCAGATTTACTCTAATTCACCCCCGAAAGGGACGCGCCAACATCTGCTTCCCCTCGACTTGGCATGTTTCTTGGCTGAGGCTGAGGCTGAGTTCAGCCCCCAAAATCACCGACGCCCGACTCTCCACCACCTCCACCTTTATCTGAACTTGACATTGCATCGTCATCTTGATCTCTATTTCCATCGCTATCTGTATCTGTATCTACATTCGCATTTACTTTTGCCTAGGCTTGTTGCCTGCACCACGATAAACTCTCCAGACACAGAAGGATACAAAGAACGACCAATAAACACACTCACGTGCCCCCGAAAAGACCCTCGTATACGAGATCTCACGACTCTGTGAATATCAGCAAGAGCCCTGATCTCTGCGGGGAGAATCACCCCAGAGTCTTTCTATCATGACTCAATATCCCGAGTATACCCCCGCGTCCTCACTAGGCCGGGAACTGGGTATTACATTCGCGTTCATCGGAGCTTGTGTGGTGACCATGGTCATTTACTTGGTTATCTGGAGACGTAAGTATAAGTTTCTCATGTTGTGTAACAATCTTCCTTCCTATGCTATAACTTCTATTCCCGGACCAAATGTTTGTAAACCTACACTCTTCCATTCTCGGGTCGACCTCCTGTCTATTATACTAGACTACCTCTTTTACCGTTGACACGCCCAACCCAACACCCTCTATCCCCGATTCCAAATCCCCCAACCCAGAATTCGCACATCCTTTTATACTTGTATCCTGATTAATTCATAGGAATCCAACTCCGCACGCAAGACGAAGACCTCGCCCGCCGTAAAGCGCTGAAAAGCCGCACTGCAGCTCTATCAGACACCCTATCCACGACGAACGGGCTGCATTCAAGTAGAAAACTGAGTGCGATTCCGGGTTCTGGGGGTGACCGTGTTTATGACAAGGTGGTGAATCGGTACGCGGTGTCTGGGGACCGGGTTCATGGGTTAGGGATGGAGGTTGGGAGGGAAGGAAGAGGGGATCTTTTGTGATGTTTTAAATGATGAAGGTCAAGGTGAGGATGTACATATGGCTGATGACTGGATGAAGCTATGATTTGCATGGTGGGAGGAGGATTAACGGAGGGAGAATATCCACTTTATGATGGGTTGTGGTCGAGACTTGCCAAGGTCTTGATATTGGATTTGCGTCTTATATCTACGGGCAATGTTGGATTCCAAGATGAATATGACCATAAACGTGACTTTGTCTCGCTGTATATGATGTAGACGCCTATATTGAAAAGGTATACATGTACGCTCCAATATGATACAAGGGTATAAAAATCTAACACACCCTCTCACCCACAAACCGGCTCATCAAACCCCCTCGTCCACAGTAAACTTCCCATAATAACCACCAAAAGCCCCAAACCACCCGCGACGCTAACAACCCCATAAAAATACGCATGTCTCCTCCTCGCCACGCCATTCAACTCTGCCACCCACGTACTAATCGTCGTCAAACTCCCACAAAACCCATCCATCACACCCTGCAAAACCTGACACCCCGTCAACGCCGCCGGCACCACGGCACCCAGACCAGATACGTGCTGCAAATCATAGCATAACCCTTCTACCACCGTGCCGAGCATGTTGACCGCAAACGTCCCCAACGGAAACGAGGGCACCCGCCTATTCAATAGCACAGATATGTAGAATCGGCCCAAACAGCCCAGCGGCGCGAAGACCAGTGCAAAAACCGCCCGTCCGCGCCAGGTATCCGCGCCGTGCCGGTCTGGCGGCCAGATTGCTAGGAATACGGCGCCGAGCCAGCAGCCCCAGGCCAGGGGGACCACGACACGGTCAACGACGCGGCGCATCAGCGCGAATGGCACGGTTGGCGTAACCCGCGCCAGACCCAGCGCGAGATGTGCGCCAAAGATCAGCGCCGACAGACTCAGCGAGACGGTGAGGAGCAATACCGCGACGAGCGCCATGAAGCTATACCCGCCATTCCGGGACGTGATGCCCACACCGGCCGGCAGAGACGGATCCGGCAGGGCATTTGCCAGTGCGAGAAAGACATCGCGCATGAAACTTGAGAATGAGGTACAGCATCCGCAGAAGCCGGTTGTCAGGCCTATGTAGAGCGGGATGGTCTTTTTCACGGCTTTATGGGTTTTCGTCTGCTGGGTGGCTTCGTGGTCGTCTTTTGGTGGCGTTGTGGGTGGCGTGCCCCATTCTTGTTGGAATATGTTCTTGTCTTCGATTAGGAAGCCCATTATGAGACTACCCGTGACGTTGGCCCAGAGGACGCCCGTGACGACGGGGGCGCCCGTGTAGAATGTGAGGGCCTGGAGGCCCAGGCGGGCGAGGGTGCCGAGGAGGGAGAAGAAGATGAGGTAGGAGATTGTGTAGAGATGGGTTGCGTGCTTGGAGAGTGGTTTGGAGGGTGCTTTGTCTGTCGGTGCTGGTGCAAGTTCTGGCGCAACGGCTTCCGGCTCTGACTCGGGGGAGCGCCATCTTTGCCGCTGCGAGGAGACTGGGGAGACAGGTTGGGGTGCCTGGGTTTCAGTCAAGGCTGGGTCTGCGTCTTTCTCGGAGTCTGCGGTGGTTCTCAAAGGTCGCGCGGGCGTAAGTGTGGGAGTTTGCATGGGCGCGACGGCCTCGTCTTGGGAGCCAGGCTGTTCTGCTGCATACCAGCGAGAGCGCTGCGAGGGGACGCGTCCGACGGGCTCTGGTGCGATAGTCTCGGTCAATTGGGGGTCGGCATCTTGTTCGGAACCTGCGGAATGCCTGGAAAGGCCTGACTCCGTCGGAGGCGCCATGCGAGGTGAAGATGAGTTTGGCGGCGCGAGGAGGTAAAAGGACTAGAAAAGTGGAGTTCTGCGGTGGAGCTGATAAGGACGAGGCGATAGGCAATCGTCATCGGATGGCTATACTCGGGGCATTATAGTGAAGGTTTAGAAGACAAGAAGTAGAAGACAGGGCATATTAAATACGATCAGATAATTTGGATATTGTTCATATAGATCATTTGATGTTGGGAGGGAAGTTGTCAGAGGTTAATTATGATCATCCTGGCTGGAAGCTCTGCAAGTACGCGCATAGGCGTGCTAGAGAATCAAACCGAGGCCCTAGAGGGCAATATCCATGTACTACAACATAGCCCCAACACCCAGGGTAACTCCATTAGCTAGATGAAACCAAACAGCTGCAGCTAAATTCCCACGTCGCATTGGCCAGCCGACAATAACCCAAGCCAAGCGGGGGACAAGATAAGGCAGATAAGAAACACCGCTCTCTCCGCTCCTCCGCATCCTTAACTTACCTACACCTCCTCATTCTTGTACTGACTGCTCACCTTCTGTTTCTCTTCTCTTCCTATTTGATCAATCTCTCCCGTCTTCCGTTACCCTGACAATGTCTCTCCCAACAAACGTCCACATCTCCACCCACCCCTGCCTCCAGGCGAAGCTCTCCCAGCTCCGTTCCCAAAGCACCACCCCGCGCGAGACCAGGGCGCTGGTCGAAGAGATTGCCTCTATTCTAGGTGTAGAGGCTTTTGCCCAGGGACTGACATTGACCAAGACCGGCACTGTACGTTTCTCCTCGTTGGGTAGAAAGTAATTATATATACAGTTGTCGACATTATCTAACATGGCCCAAACCCACCACAGGACCGCACCCCGCTCGGCGTTGAATATGAAACCTCGACCACTGAGCCGGCAGATCTGGCTCTGGTTCCGATCCTCAGATCTGGACTGGGCATGATTGATGGTACGGTATAAGTCTTCTTCGTTCTTTCCTATCCATCGTGGAAATACTCGTTCCCCTACCCATGAACCATCCCAACATCCACTTTTACCCGCCCTGGTGCCCCATTTCCCCGCCCCATCTCCACTTCCACCCAAACCCAAGACCTAACAGCCTCTCCTCCCTTGCCTCGAACAGCGATAACCTCCCTCCTCCCCACCGCCGTCCCCATCTACCACCTTGGCCTCTTCCGCGAGCCCGTCGGCCTCCAACCGGTAGAATACTACAATAACCTTCCCTTTCACAAATCCGCCCTCTCCCCCGCCAGCCCCGCCTCTACAGACCCGACCACCAACACCGCAGCCTCAACGCTGGCCATCCTTCTGGACCCCGTCATCGCGACGGGTGCCACCGCCGATGCTGCGATCCAGACACTCCGGGACTGGGGCGTGCAGCGAGTGATCATGATTAGCGTGTTGGCGAGTGTGGAGGGGGTGAAGAGGGTTGCCGGGAGTTGGGAGGGGGTGCAGATTTGGGTGGGAGCGGTGGATGAGAAGGTGAATGAGAAGGGAATGATCGTGCCGGGTGTGGGGGATATCGGAGATCGGTTGTTTGTTGCACTGGGGAAGTAGACGCAACGTAGTAGGCGGTTCCTTGACAGACGGAGGGGGAGAACAAGGACTTGAATTTTTATCGGATTTGGAACCAAATGAGCAATTAGGATTGAGATATAGCTACGGCACGAAAGACTTGATATTAAATAGGAATTGGTTCCAGCAAGAACGAGGTTGAACGCGTTGTACTACCTTGTATGTCTGTACCGTGAGAGAAGATTGTCCCCGCCAAAATGTTGTATTCATCGATTACGTATAGTACATGGAAATAATTCAAAGATATAGAGAGAAAACATCAAATAAACATGTGCAAATGAAACCAAGATGCTGAACCAAGATGCTGAGAAAAAGATAATGTAAAAAGCAAAACCAGATTGCAAGCAGATCGCAAGGCGGGGGGAAGACACAGCGCAGGATCAAATCAAGTCAAATCACGCAGATGCAATCAAAACGAATACAAGCGGTCGAGTCGACAAGCATGAAGCTTGCTTCCTGTAAATCTCCTGGTCGGGAGTAAAGAGAAAGAGACGGCGACGCGCAAGAAAGGACAAAAAAAAGGACTGCGAAAAAAAGCAGGCACGGGAAAATCCAACATCAAAAAGGTATCAAGAGATTCAACAAAAAAGCTGACAGATGGACTGACTGGGGGGCACGATTAGGGGCTAGAAAGTTGTCGCAAAGCACAAGGCAGTCAAAGATGATAATAGAACTCCATCGAGTGCGAGACGAGCACACAGGTCCAGCCAGGTGTCGAAAAGGCAGAGCCAAGAAAAACAGCGCAAGTGAACACCACACCGGACTCCCAGGTTGGAAAACGAGGAAGGGAGAGAGACGAAATAGAAAACAAACGCGAGAAGATGCAACCCAGAATTTAAAAGCAGAAAGTCAGGAATCACCACACGGGCGTCGCGACGGCGGTATCTCCCAAAGCCAAAGCCCAAAACACCCCGCCTAGCCCATTGGCATTTATCCATTCCTGAGTTTCCCATGTGTCCCAATGAAAGCGTCCAGATAATTAGAGTAATAAAAAAAAAAAAAAAGCCCGGAAGACTATTGGGGAAAAAAGCGGTCGAAAGAAGAAAAAAAGTCAAAGAGAGTAGAGAAGTGTTTAGTACGCGGTGCCGACGCTGGCGAGCGACTTGGTGGACACCGCGTGAATCGGCTGATCCTTTGCCACACGCAGAGAATCTTCATAGCCGACAAGAGCCTGGGAGTGCAGCTTGAATGACTCGCCCATCAGCTTGGTAATTCTATAGAAACATGTTAGCATCGGTATTCGGATGATGACGATGGAAGTTGTAGACTTACCCCCAGACAACCACGCCGTCAAGGATGTTACCCCAAACACGGGCGACGGTGGAGCTGAGTTTACCAAAGGCATCGATGGCATCATCATCAAATAGATTCCGCACCTTGTTGTAGATGGCCAGTTCGGCCTCAGTCGCGGGCTCGTCGTCATGTTCCAGGCGGTAGAGCCAGAGACTCAGGATGACCATCAGATCCAGGCCGCAGAGCGGGTGCTCGACACTCCAGTTGGTGGCGGAGGTCTTGGCAACCCAATTGATACCCTGAATGGCGGCAATCTCGATACATTCGAAGCATTGTTGAACAACCTTATTCATCTCCTGAGAGCGCTTGACCTTCTCCCGCGCGACGGTCATAGCAGCAGCCACCTCGTAGGAAGAGTGGTAACGCATGGCCTCCTGGATGGACTTAAGGTCGACTTCAAGGCGGGCGCGAGTGTTACGGTAGACTGCCATCGAGTTGAAGATCAGAGGGTGACCCTTCTGAGGAGTGCTAAGCGGGACAACGATGGTCTCAGGCTCGCAAACATCAAGGGAGCTCTCCCAAGTCTCTAGAGCCAAGCGAAGCTTGTACTCGGTAACCACGTCCTGCAGAGCCTCGAAGCTACGCTTGTGGTTCCACACCTGGAGGAACAGGGCATTGATCAAGACACGGGTAGCGAAAGCACTGTAGCGAGTCTGCTCACCCTGGAACAGGAAGTCGTGAGCCTCACGGACGGTCATCGAACTGGCCGCGGTGATGCTACGGCGCCAGGTCTCATCGTCCGTGGCATCCGAGTTCCAGAGAGACTCGGATGAGGGCAGCTCCAGGTTGTCAAACTCGTCGAAGCTCATCGCAGGGGTGTGGTTGAATGTCAGAGTGAGCATGCCAAAGAAGATGTACACGGCAAAGTATGTACGGCGGCAAGACTCTTCCTCAATCCACTCTTCGCGCGAAGGGAAGGCAGTCTGGCGAGCCTCCGTGCGCAGCTTGAGCTGGTAACGGTTGCCGGCGACCATGTTGGCCAACAGACTCTTGATCGAGCAAGTCCATTCGAGACCCTTGGGGTCACCACTCCAGCTCTCAAAGACCATGTTGAGTAGAGTGCTCTGCATCAACCACAGAGGGCACTTGCGCGAGTCAAAGTTCTCCTTGTGCTGCAGAAATTGGTTGACCAGAACCTTGGAGCCGACGTGCAGCATGAAGGCATGATCCCGCTCAAAGGTGTACAGAGCACCGATTGACAGAACAGCAAGAAGCAGCGGGGTCGGCGCCGAGGTAGGCTTGAAGGACTGCTGGTGGAGGAACGGCAGATGGGGGTGGTACAGGTTGAAGTAGGTGGACAGGTACCGGTTCAGAGCGGCCGTGGCCGGAATCTGGAAGTTATCAGGCAGGGCACCGAGGGTGTCAGCACTTTGCACGCGTTCCACAATCAAATTGCGCTCCATCTCGTCAGCGATTTGAGGGGCCTTGGGGAGGGTCAAAGCTTGGCTGGGTCCAGGAGACCGGCGGTAGTTCACGGGGCTGACGGGGCCTGTCATGGAGGGATACGGTGACAGGGCATTCGGGGTAGAGTTTCCAGACATGGGCAGCGAGTGGGACATGAGAACGTCCCCGACGGGGCCGTGGCGGTCGATCAGAGTGGGCATAGGACCAGATTCCGCGGGGGAGATGAGGGTGTCCCAAGGCATCTGAGGCAGAGTGGCGTTTCCTGACAGGTACGGATCGAAGGAACCACGTCCAGGCGAAAGGGACTCGGAGCGCTCGGAAACCTGACCGGTCGCTGCAGCTGCAGCTTTATGTTGGAAATCTGTCATCAACATGGCTGCAGTTTCAAGATCAACCATACCATCACTGCTTGCCTCGATCTGTTCCAGCGTCGCCGGGTCGATCGTGATTGAGGGCTTGGAGGGAGCTGACGAGGAGGGCTTCTGCACGCCTCCATTTCCACCACGTCTCCGACCTTCCGCAACCAAGGGGATGCCGCCATCTTTGGCGTGCACAGTACGGTCATGGCGCAAGAGAAGGTCACGGCGCACAAAGGTACTCCGACATTTCAAACACTTAAAGGGCCGTTCCTTGGTGTCTAGAATTCCATCGAGTTAGTTTGAATGCAATGGAATTTTGATTTCTCCCGTCTTCTTCTTTCTTGAATGTGAAGAGACGCAGAGGGAGAGAAGAGGAGGGGGGGGGGGGACCACTTACGGGACCGTTCATGTCTGCTGCGATGTTCACTACGGCTGAAAGCGCGATTGCAAAATTGGCACTTGTACTTCTTCTCAGGGGCAGAGGTCTTCTTGGCCGGCGAGTTGCTGGCCGTCCCGGGAGCTGAGGGAGCCATGTGTAGATCTATTTGTTCGGGCCGATTTCGTCTCAAGCGAGGGTCGAAGTCGACGGCGATGGTATCGTCCCCTGAGTGAGCTCGCACCGGTTCTGTAGGCGTGTCGACGACAGGAGTTCGTTGGGGAGTCTGATCATTCCTTGTAGTTGGGGATCTGATGGAGAACCAAGATCGGGAGGGGTTGCGTTGTAGTTTTAGGTTCAACTGGGTTGTGGGCGCGAGTTGCGAAAGTGGGAGTCCAGCCACAGGCGGACGGCGGGGGTGGGAGGGAG